TGGCCACGCCCTCTGCCCGCGCCCTGCAGCATCAGCTGTGCACGATGGGGCGTGAGGCCAGATTCTTGACTCCGCTGCCTGGCTGCCATGTTCCTGGCTGCACTGCTCCGCATGGGCCACGCTCGGGGGCGACTCTCCTCCAGGGTGGCTGCTGGTGAGGAGGGGATCACAGGGGGAGGCAAGGCTGGGGCAATGGCACGTGTGGCCACAGGGCTCCGAGTGCCGCCTCTGGCACCCGTGCCATAGGTTTGCCACCACTGATATATACCGTAATCCAAAGTAATTTGGGTTTTAAAACCTTTCACCTAAAAGCTATTGCTGGGAATTAACTTGAAGGATTACTACAATTTGTAATTGGGATATTATTTTATATTGTTGTCCTGTCTTCTGTCTTTAGATATTATGCTTAGGTCAAAAAAAAGTCCAAATTATGTCCCGCATTTAAACTAATTCTTGACACTTGATAATTAACAAAGAGTGCTTTTGCAGATTTTTGAAAGGCCTTTTAATACTTGTATTTGGTGAATGATTTAATAGCAGAGAAAAAAATGTAAAAGCAAAATGGTTTAAAATATGCACTTATTGAAACAGCATTAGAAGAATTAAAGCTAACAAGTTTGAAAATATCCCAACCCTTTTATTTTGATGCACAAAACAATAAATGAACAAACATCTGTACATATTTGTCAAGCCCAAATTTACTATATCTTGCTATGCTTTCTGTGCAGATGTTTTTTGTTTATACATTATATATATTTAAAATCCTCACCTCTGTTTCTGCAGAACTGCTACCCAAACTGGATAATTGCAATTATAAAGGATTTGTGTTTTCCCTTGTTTATCTATAAGAGTGCCTGCTTTTCATCTAGCTATGTGTGTAACAGAGTTCATGCTTTGGTTAAACATGGCTGCATTTTGGTTCATAGTTATACTTTAAAATACTAACTCTAGGCAGTTTTTATAAAGAAGAAATCTTATATAAATTGAATATGTTATTCATAAGCCATATGGTATTCTACAGTAGTGTGCACTATTCTAAAAGTATGCTTTAAATCAGTGTATATAGTTCCTCTCTATTCCTCCAGCTTACTATATCTCCTTTCCTAAAAATACCTTAGCTTAGTGCCTCTATATGTCTATTCCTTTAGCAGAAATGAAAAATTATAACATGTACCTTTCTTGTGTAGCTCATAAGGGTCTAGGTTAACTAAATTATGAACTGCTGGCATACAAGTAGGGTTGCCAGGTCTGTTTCCATATAAATAGCGGACAAGCGGGGGGGGGGGGGTTAAGTAGTAAAAAAAAGTAGACTGTACAGCTTTAGATTACGTACCATTTCATCATAAAGCTTTTGAATAAAAAAAATGTCCACTATTTTGTGAAAAAAAATAGTGAACATAATGTGAAAAAAGTGGACTGTCCACTCAAATAGTGGACACCTGGCAACCCTACCAAGAACTAATAAGAATAAGTTTAGTCAAAACATGGTGAGCTTCATTGGAAGGGTTTTAAAATAAACCTTGTATGGAGTAGAAACGAAGGGACTTGATATAAAAACTTCTACACATAAGAATATGGGGCCTCTGAAAAAAAATCAGAACATTGGCAGTTAATATTCAAGGCTTTGATTGTGGAGACCAAAGGAGTGAGAATGAAGAAAGTAATTTTGCAGTATTGCAACAAAAGCCCAGTGCTTTTTGTGCATACTGAAGGCCAAATCTGACTTGTGCCTTGGTATGCATATTTTTCCAGTGAAACAGATCAAGACAGGAAGATCATTTTATTATGCTTTATTCAAAACATTCTGATTAAAAAGGATTCCTCTCATTCAAAGAGGGAACCTAGATCCTCAACTTTCATTCTGTTTTATAATTAACACTTCAAAAATATGCAAAAGAAAATTTGATTGGGTAGGACAAAAATATCTTCCCCTTTGCACTGGAAATCGGTTACATGGAGTTAAACATGTTACATACATGTATGTCCATTTAAATGAGCTCTGACATAAGTAGGGGCATAAGATTGAGTATGTTAATGACAATAGGTTGTTTGGAGTTAAGGAAGAGACCAACCAGATCCCAATTGACACTAACAAGCTTTCTCTCATCAGGAGACAAACTACAGACAACCTGTTAAACACAGTTTCTATCCTATGTTGACCTGGACAGCAAAAACAGTTTTATCTGGCAGTTTAGAACTGTCAAAATGTTAAAACAATAGAATAAAGAGCTCTCTACATTCCAGTCTGCAATGATTTCGTAAACCATAGATATAAGGTATAAAATCTGAAATAGGGCATTTGAAAGGAGTATTATAAAAACAACGCTGTTGCTGGTTCTATTATCACCCACCAGGAAACCAGGAAAGGGATAACTTTCCAAAGCTACGGTAAGTGCAAATCTTTCAAATAGGTAACAAGCTACAGCAGCTGGATGCTTTCCAAAGGAAGACATGGTACAGGAAGTTCTCATTTCACTTTCTTGGACTATGGTTCACATTTTAATTTTATAGTCTTTTCTGTTAATTTTTAGTGGTGTATTTATTATTAATGATGCATTATGTTTTTGTAAACAACTCAGCCATTGTATTTATTTTCTAAATAAAAAAATGTAAGGGAAGATAGTCTTGAAGCATGGCTGTTAAGATATACCGTGTTTCTCCAAAAGTAAACCCTACTCCAAAAGTAAGGCCCAGCTGATTTTTTGGGGGTGGGCCTAATATAAGCCCTACTCTGAATGTAAACCCTAGCGCGGGGTGGGGCAAGTCGGCCCAGATCTTCAGTGCGACAGAGTGCCCCCCCCGCCGACCTGCCAGGGCCCTTTGCCAGTGGCCGCCGGTGGAACCCCGCCGGCCACCCCACACCTCCACCTTTGGGCTGCTGAGTGCCAGCCTGTACGCCTACTCGATGCTGCAGGCGCCGGGCTAAGGGTGGGCGCTGCAGCTCTCAAGCCGGCTGGGCGCTTTTGGCCTCTACCAGCTACTCCTGCCGGATTGCCTTCTGCCGCCGTCGCTATGAGGTGAGGAGGCGAGGCAGGTGGCAGAAGGGGGGGTGGAGTTGTTTCCCTCCGCCTGCCAGACACCTGCCAAAGCCGCGCAGGGTAAGGTTGCTGCGTCCCCCCGCCCAGATGCCCTCGCCTCCCCCAAGCGTTTTTTTTACTAACCTGCCTTTCAGCTGCATTGCGTTTCTCAGTTCACTTCTCAGCCTTCGCCGCGTGCTTGTGGGACAAAAAAATACCTAAAAAATATTAAGACTTTCTAACTTCTTGAGATCTCTCGAGAAATTAGAAAGTCTGATTGAACTTCTTTTTTTTTTTGTCCCACGAAGACGCGGCGAAGGCTGAGAAACTAATGGAGAAACGCAATGCAGCTGAAAGGCAGGTTAGTAAAAAAAAAGCTTGCGGGAGGCGAGGGCATCTGGGAGGCGCGGCAACCATACTCTGCATGGCTTCAACAGGTGTCTGGCAGGCAAAGGGAAACAACTGCACCTCCCCTCCGCCACCTGCCTCGCCTCACCTCGTGGTGGAAGCAGCCGGCCGGGTGGAAGGCGATCTGGCGGGAGCAGCTGGTAGAGGCCAAAAGTGCCCAGTCGGCATGAGAGCTGCAGCACCCGCCCTTAGCGGGTGCCTGCAGTCCCGAGTAGGCGTGCAGGCTGGCGCTCATCAACCCAAAGACAGAGGTATGGCCGATGCAGATGCACAGGGGGGGTCACTGAAGAAGGGCCTTGGCAGGTCTGCGGTGGGGCGGCACTCCGGATCTGGGTTGACTCACCACGCGCCAGGCTTGGCGCCCTTTCTGGCACCGCCCACCACAGGCGCACCAGTACTGTACCTGGTCTGCCACCACGCTCTTGCCACATTGCTTCTCCACTCCATGCACAGCCCCCCCCACCCCTACATGACCTACTGGTACCAGTCTTGTGGAAAACGAAAGAACTCTTACGAATTCCAGAGGGGTTTAGCAGAGAGGTTTATTTGCGCAGGTTCAGAGGCATATAGAGATAAGCAATTCTGAACGAGGAGGGCGGGATTAGACTTCAGTTTTTATACTACCCTTCTTTCAGGAACAAAGGGACTACACATGGTAATACACTGTAATACATTTGGATCGTTTCTCACGGGCATACAATGGAAGGTTTTGCTACATACAAAGTATCCATGTGTAACGCGCATTTGGTTAGCCACATATTACTGACACAGAACTTTCCCAGTGAATTATCCCCGTGATTATGCATTACATCATTATTCTAGCAATTATGCAGACAAATCATTATTCCAGTTATGCAGACAAATCATTATTCTAATAATTGTTCATTTTACTACATTACCAGTACCAGCAAAAAGTAAGCCCCCCCCGAAAGTAAAAGCTAGTGCTTACTTCAGAGCCCAAAAGAAAGTAAGACAGGGTCTTACTTTTCGGGGAAACACGGATAGTATCAAATTGTCATAGTCTTTTAAGATTGGGTGTAGTAGCAGTTTAATTCAGTGTTTCTCAACTTCAGTAACAAAGATGTGCAAACTCCAACTCCCAGAATTCCTCAGGCAACATTCTGTCCGAGGTATTCTGGGAGTTGAAGTCCACGCATCTTAAACGTTGCAGAGGTTGAGAAACACACCATGTTGAGTTTATTGAATGTAAACCTCTTTCTTGGCTTCAGCTCTGTTAACAACACAACAATATTCGTGGATCAGCTCTTCTCGCCAGCCACGTTGACCAAAACGGGAGTTACGGACTAAAATAAAAATGTTCTAAAAAATATTTTCCAATAAAACATCTTCACAGCCCTGGAAAAAAAAAATGCGCGAGCCCGCTGAAGATCCACCCGCGCGCTTCACGAAACGCTTTAAAAAAAACGAACAAATCTCAGGGAACTCGCCCCTGATTGGAGGAAGTGGCCCTGGAAAAGCAGCAGGAACAGCCTATTATATCAGTTGCCTTTGGGGAGGCGGGTGGTCTGCGCTCAGTCGCCGCCCGAGAGCGCTGGCGCTTCCTTTCTCCACAAAATGGCGGCCGCAGTCGGGGTTCCCGCCGCTTTAGCGAGCGTCGCTGTCCCGTCTCCGTCGCCTCCGGCCCCTTCTCCCCCCACCATACCCTCGATAACTCCTACGCCGGCCGTCCTTACTCCTCAGCCCGCGGCTGCACCACCACCACCGCCGCCGCCGCCTCCCGCGTTGGCGGCGCCTTTTCCCGGCGGCCGTGCAGTCCGGCTGCACCCGGTGGTGCTGGCCTCTATCGTGGACAGCTTTGAGAGGCGCAACGAGGGCGCGGCCCGCGTTATCGGCACGTTGCTCGGTAAGGACCGTCGCTCTCTCCGCTGAGGAGGAGGCGGCTCAACCCGAAGATGCGCTAGCTCAGTGTTTCTCAACCTTGACAATTTTAAGGCATGTGGACTTCAACTCCCAGAATTCCACAGCCAGCATTGCTGGCTGTGGAATTCTGGGAGTTGAAGTCCACATGCCTTAAAATTGTCAAGGTTGAGAAACACTGCGGCTAGCTGCTCTCTTTGGCGCTCCGGAGTGTTTTGAGAGGAGGAAACGGAGCCGAATCCCGGCAGCTCTGCGTATAGTTGCTACTATCCTGGCACGAAGTAGAGAAAGGGTGGTGGGAAGGCCGGCCTATGGCAGGGGTAGGCCACCTTGGCTCTTTTATGACTCGTGGACTTCAACTCCCAGAATTCCTGAGCCAGCACAGCTGGTAAGATAAAATCCCCCTCCCTCCTGTTTTCCTCACAGCAACAACAACCCTGTGAGGTGGATTGGACTGAGAGTGACTGGCCCAAAGTTACCCAGCTGGCTTTCATGTCTAAGGCAGGACTTGAACGCGTGGTATCCCGTGAGACTATTTTTGTAGCATTAATGCATGTTAGAATTTGTCGTGTGATTGTTTGGTTCAAAGGCAACTTAGTGTTTACAGCAGGGGTTCTCAACCTTGGCAACTTTAAGACTTGTGGACTTCAACTCCCAGAATTCCTCAGCCAGCTTGGCTGGCTGAGGAATTCTGGGAGTTGAAGTCCACAAGTCTTAAAAGTTGCCAAGGTTGAGAACCCCTGGTTTACAGGCTCAAACTGAAAGTGGGGAGATTGCCTTTATAATAAGAAAAATATTTACTTGAAGTGCAGCTTTATATTTTGTGGCTTTGTTACAGCGTTGGATTATTTATCCTGTGGTACATTCATATTACATTTTTATAAAAACAGATAAAAATACAAAGCATGAAATATAAAATGTAAACATATGTCATCATTGGGTTAAGTTGATGCCTTATATTGCTTCTTTTTCTACATAAGATGCTAGACCTGTATTTCATTGTTCCATTCATTTTTCAGTCAATGTAGATGGGAGTTAAAGCTAGCCCTGATATGCATTAGTTTCCTGATGTTAAATTTGAAGTGGCAAAATGAAAGCAAGATACTTCTTTGATTTGCCACCATGCTTATTCTGTTGCATGTTTATTTATATGTCCATTTCTTAGCTACAGCATCTAAAAGTTCTTAAGAACATTAAATAAAGGAGCTTTGATAGAAGACAGTTCCGTTACAGAATATAGTTTCTGAAATGCATTCTTTTTGTATCTTGCTTAGAACAAACAGTGCCTTGTTTTCATTCTTCTCAGACTTCATCCTATAGGCTTAACACACACTTGTAAATCAAGATTGTTGTAATATCACTATAAAACCATTATCTTCTGCGTATTGTAAGGAGGTTGAACTTGAAGGGGTTCAAGTTGTGCTGTACTGTACTTATCAGCAGATATAAATCTAATGTCTTCAGTTACAAGTTCTTCCTTGAATGTTCCTAGGCCTTTGCTTGGGAAGAACTTTTCTTAGGAAAATGTTTTTTCTTTAACTTTGTAGGCACAGTTGACAAACATTCCGTAGAGGTTACCAACTGCTTCTCAGTACCTCATAATGAATCAGAAGATGAGGTGAGTATGTGTTATTTTGATCATGATTTTAGCTTTGCCATTAGCTTAAACCCATGGAAGGAGATACTTTTAGGAAAGTACCAAAATCAGAGAATTGGTTTAAGGATTCTGTAATCAGAGAATTGGTTTAAGGATTCTGTAACTCTTTGAAGTTGCAGAATCACATTTCAGAAAGTTAAAATCAGGCCTTTCTCCCCTTTCAAACTGGTAAACTCTCACAAGTAGCAGTTTTCTTGGTATTATTGCTGGAAGAGGATATCCTAAATTATAATGCAAATGCTTAGGTGTGATACACTTTTAACAGAATATTTTTTATTTCAAAATTCAAATGAACAGAGACAATAAAAAACAAACATGACAAACTAAGCGAAAAGAAGAAGAAGAAAAAATAAAGACGTGTACACAACATATGTAAAATCAACCTTAAACCTACATTGTCCACCCTGGCTGAGTATTGAAAAATATGTCTCAAATAGTTCTAGCATATTCCCCCCTTGGACAGTGTGCCTACAACTAACTATGAATCTTTTCATCCATGCTGACTATATTTGGTATACAGAAGTACTATTTTGTACCATAGTTTCTTAAAATATCTCAAATATAGAAATCTAATATCTATTAATCAAGTCAACCCAATATCTGTTAGGTATTAAACAAAACTGCTAACTGGTATCCACCCAAAAATAAGCTAATCTTAACAGTCCGTTATTGTATTTAACTCGCAGAAATTCCACAAAAGGCTTCCAATGCATTATAAAATTGTCTGAAGTATTATCTCTAAGCAATGCAGTTAGTTTCACCATCTCTACCAATTCAGTTTCACAATCAATTCTTCAACTACAGGTATTCCTTTTTCTTTCCATTACTTGGCATGAACACTCCTTGCAGCTATGACCACATATAGAAGTAGAGTTCCATGTTCTTGGAATTTGATTACATTTCCAACAATTATTAGAAATTACTTTATTCTTGACAATCTATCCAGAGGCAAATACTATCAGTAAATCATTTTGTAAAAGTTTTCTTTCAAACGGTAATTCAAAGTAAATCATTATTTCGCACATTATCTAGCGTTATATTATGACCAAAGTTTTTCACCCATTTTACCTTACAGTTCTTAACATAGTCTTCTTCCAAATTTATCCTAGGTAACATTTTATAGACTTTGGAATCAAATGGTCATCCCCAGAACATAAACTCAATTTCAATTCTGATTTGTGTCCAGCAAAAACAAAGCTTTTTATCAAGTTTAAATCTTTCAAATATTTTATAATAATTAAACCAGTCACAATTAAATCCATCACTTACTAGTTGTTGCCTCACTTTTAGCTTAGGATCCTCTTTCCATATCAATAGATCGCAATATGTCATCTATTTTGATTCCATTAAAGTCTCTTTCCTGTGCAATGCTTCATGTGATAGCCACAATGTTGTCTTAGTAGCCAATCTTTTATATTTCAACCATGTATGAACAACGCGCATCATAGTACAATCTGAGATCTGGCAGGCAGGGAGGGGGCATGACAGGAACCAGAGGGCCATCCAGAGATCATGGTTGAAATATCCAAGGACACAATCCTGGGAATGGAATGTGAAACACCCATTCAAAAAGGTGCCAAAATGTGGAACTGTTACCAAAACACCTCATTGGAATCTCATTGAACATCACCAAGATGACCAAGTGGTGGGAAATGTCTAGGAGAAGGGAAAATTACCAGGGTTACGGGAGAAATTCTCAGATTTGGCTTTGCTATGCTGTAACCACTTGGCTTCAGTTAAAAAAAAATACTTTTCATTACAAATGAAGTTGAAGATCTTTCTTTCCTGAATATCCAAGCTGGGACAGGCTTATTTTGTACAGATAGTCCCCAACTTACAACCATTTGAAGTTATGATGGTGCGGAAAAATGTCTAGCCCTCTGACTTATGGCCAGTCCTCACAACTATGACCATTGGACCACCCCCATATTCATGTGCTTGGAATTTGGACGCTTGGCAACCGCTCACATTTCTGATCAATTGCAGTGCCCTGTGGTCATGTGATCACAATTTGTGACTGTTTTTGCCAGTTTCCGGCAAAATTCTCGGAAGAATGGGTTTGAATTTAATGACTACGGATTTGCTTAATGACCATGATGTAAATGGTCATAAAATTGGTCTGATTTTACTTAATGACTGCAACCATTTATGATGGAAATTCTGGTCCCAATTGTGATTGTACTGTAAACTGAGGACTACCTGTACACATCATGATTTCCATATCTGTTATATCTTACGTACTATTCATTTTGTGAGTTTGCTTCTTCCACTGAACATGGAGCTACAGGGATGTAGTTACTGTACTTATGTTAAAAAAAAATAATATACAGGGAGCCTGGAGTGAATGGCAGGCATTAGGTTTAGTCTTAACCAATTTTCCCATTTAATCAAGTGGAATGAATAGCAGCTACTTGTTTATTGATATTATAATGGCATTGGGAGGTACTCTTTATTTTCTTTACCATCAAACGTTCAACATGAAAAAATGGAATGTTATTTTTATCCTATATTCATGCAGCCACATAAGTATCTTTTATAAAGGAATTCAGGGAGACAAACAGATAGTACTGTGTGGAAAAATTAAAAGTGTGATTTTTTTTGCATCAGAAATAAGTTATCAGTCAAAGACAATGTGCTTTCTCTACTCAGACTTGTGGGTTTAGTCTCAGGTTAACAAGTTTAGATAAAAGGCCTATCAGTGAATTAATGTCATTATTGCAGAATCTTGAATTTTGTTAACTTTCAGGTTGCAGTGGACATGGAATTTGCCAAAAATATGTATGAATTGCACAAGAAAGTGTCTCCAAGTGAAATTATTCTGGGATGGTAAGTCTTCATTCTACCAGAATTTGTCTGCCCAGCTTCTCAAAAGACAGGACTATCTTTAATTAATAGAATGCCATAAAATAATAACAGTTCTTTAAACAATTATGTCAACTTTGTTGGTCTTGGTAGCAATACTCCTCCATTGTTATAGAATTTTGGGAAATACTTTGACTCTCTTTAACAGAATAAACCTCGACTGTTATTTTTTTCCTTCTCATTTAGGGATGCATTGTTCGCTTGCATGATCCTTAAAGTTGATGATAAGTTTTCCATATTCACTGAACCTTTGTTACATATAGCTTTGATCGTGCTATCTGTTGTTAGTAATAGATCCAACTTAACCCTTGGGATATCCAGGGATAAAACTGTATAATCATACTAGATTCCGATTGATCTAAAATAGCATCACAAAACCTTTGGGGATGATAGAGTCTCAGAATCTGTAAGATAGTCTCCAGCAGATAGCATGAACTTGTGCATTTCTCTTTTCTATTACGTTTGTAACATTGTAAATTTGAAAGTATTGTTTTAAATATTTTAGCTGCCATCCGCTTTCCTTTTTCCTGCTTCAGACATAAACATTCTGATGTGCAGTATAACCTTTATTTAATATATTTATATGGCAGCCCAACTCACACATGGTAGCTTACAGTATTAAAATTCCACAATGTAAAAATCCCTTAACATCCTTCCATAATCCCATAGGCCAGTGGTGGCGAACCTATGGCACGGGTGCCAGAGGCGGCATGCAGAGCCCTCTCTGTGGGCACGGGCACTGTCGCCCCAGTCCTAGGCCTTCAGCTGGGTTTTATAAAACCTTTTCGCTTTAGGCTTCCGCCGCCGTGTGCAAAAAAAAAAAAAAAAAGGTTGAATCAATCAGTCAATTTCAACTTCTCGTGGGAAAAAAAAAGATCTTGCAAAGTTGGAATTGATTGATTGAACTTTTTAGTCCCACCCAGTCTGCCGTTACCACTGCAGCCACGCCCACCCAGTGGGCCATGCCCACCCAATGGGCCACACCCAGCCAATGGCCACGCCCACCCGGCACCCGACGATGCATAAATGGGTTTTGGGTTGCAGTTTGGGCACTCGGTCTCTAAAAGGTTTGCCATCACTGCCATAGGCGACAACAGGCAGAACTACTTGATCAGTTCTATGTCACCCTGGGGTTCCCAGGCCACTGACAGAACCATGTCTCGAGGTCCTTCCAGAAAAGTATCAAAGTGGGGGCCAATCTTATCTTTGGGGGAATGGTATTCCAAAGGGAGGGAGCTACTAGAGAAAGCCTTTTTTCCTGGGTCTCACTAGATGGGACTGTAACATACCGTGCCTTCCCGCTGTGGTGGGCCAGAGAGATGTAACTGGGAAAGAGATTGCCATTCAGATGATCTGGCCCCAAGCCATCTAGGGCTTTAAAGGTGATAACCAGAAATTTGAATGGCACGCAGAAGCAAATTTGTAACCAATACAGTTCCCACAAAAGAGGTAACATGGGCTGCTGCAGTTTGAGCCATCTGAAGCTTCCAAATACTATTTGGGACAACCCCATGTAGCGTGCATTACGGCAGTCCCAACAAGAGGTGACTAGAGCATGGGTGACTGTGAGAAGGGCATGTTGATCTAGGAAAGAGGCTAACAAGTACACAACTTGCTATTGTGCAGGACTACCACCTGCTCTTTGAGCTAGAGCTGTCAGTCCAGGAGAACCTACAGATTATGTACTGGGTTTGCCTGGGACAGTGCAACCCCATCCACAACTAAAAACAGTAATAAAAAAATCCTTTGTTAGTTTGCAAAAGATTACTGAAAATCCCAGGTAACTTTGTATCAGATTCCTGTTAACATTAGGTTTGTCCATTCTGAGAAGAGGTCTTGGTAATATTTACCTTTCCAATAGTATTGGATAAAACTAGTTTATTGAATAATATATTAAAATGTCAAGACAATAACTCACATACTTCATGGATACATCACTGACAAATATCGGTCTGTATTTTCAGCATAGCAACTTTTAAAATATCCGTATTGAATTAATGGATTCGCTGTGTGCAAATATTGTCTTAAGCTGATTTTATTTTTGCAGGTATGCAACTGGACATGACATCACAGAACACTCTGTTTTAATCCATGAATATTACAGTCGGGAAGCTCACAACCCAATTCACCTAACTGTGGACACCAGTTTACAAAATGGACGTATGAGCATTAAGGCATATATCAGGTACTTGCAAAAACAATTCACCTGCATTTTGCTTGAAAGAAACAAAAGTAAAAAATGAAATGTTACAGTCCGCAAAAGAAAAAGCACGAATCTTATTCCATACTACTTTTTAACATTACAGCAGGACAGTTTAGACCAGGGGTAGGCAACCTTGGCTCTTTTATGACTCGTGGACTTCAACTCCCAGAATTCCTGAGCCAGCATGGCTCAACTTGGAACCTCTCCCTTTCCTTTCAGCATGGCTGGCTCAGGAATTCTGGGAGTTGAAGTCCACGAGTCATAAAAGAGCCAAGGTTACCTACCCCTGGTTTAGACAAATATCAAATTGCAAAAATAATATTTGAGATTCCAAAGTTTTGAGAAGCGCCTGCTTTGATTCTTTTTCTCCTATGACATTCTTAAATTTATTCTGGCAGTTATGTACATATAGGGCGTATATATGGTTACTATTGTGGGTTTTTCAGAATCAGTACTCTAATAAGAATTGAAAGCAATTCTTATGTATCAGGCCTTATTTGGAATATACATGCTAAGAAAAATTGTCTCTCTTTTAGCACCACAATGGGAGTTCCTGGTAAGACGATGGGGGTAATGTTTACTCCTCTTACTGTGAAGTCTTCCTACTATGATACCGAGCGGATAGGAGGTAGGCATTATATTATTGATGGATGTAGTCCTGTTTGCTTTTGTCCTGATGATTAGCATAGCCAAGAAGTGAAAACCTAGTGAGTGGCTAGACCAGTGATGGCAAACCTTTTGAACTCACGAGTGTCAAAAATTCAGAAAATGCCTACTTTGATTCTGCTGGGGTGACAAAAGAGACCTTTTGGGGACCTCCTCTCTGGACTTTCCTGTTGACGTCAATCTCTGGAAGTCATGTCAGAGGCCTGCTCTTTTGGGATCTCTGGAGCCTCCCGAAAAATTGCATGAGAATGCTTCCCTGATTTGATCCCTTGGAAGCTGCATGAGAGCAAGGCCTTTTTGTACAACTTCCAGAGGTTTGATATGTCACCCAAAACGACATAGCTTATCACAGGTTTGCCATCACTGGGCTAGACATAGTGATAAGACCTGGCTTTCCGTGATTGGTTACAAGTTCTGTGCAGTAAAATTAAAGGTCAGTGCTTTGAAATAAAACTTAGAGGGCTAAAGCTGCATCTTCACCCCAGAGGACAAGAAATAAGAAATACTGTTCCTGACAGAAATATCCTTTTCCTTTTATATATATATTTATTAAATATCGACTTAGTCTACTGAAATATATATATTCAGTTATTTCCAATTTGTCAAATGTTGGGCTTAGCAGGTCACATGAGTGCAAACCATGGCCATGATAATGATCAAATCTGTCTTACCTGGTGTGGTCTATCTGGCTGGATAACACAATGAATGACAGGAAAGTGGAGTCAGCCATCACTGTTTGTTTCCTCTTCCTCCAGAAAATCTACAAGCTGATTTTGTTTATAGCACTATGCTGTCTAGCATTTTGAAGAAGGAAACAACAGGAAAGCTTCCAGATGATTGAATTTTGCATATTCTTATGATAAACTACCATAGAGCAATCATTGTAATATCGTATTGTTTTAGTTTATCTACAGTCATAGACCAAAACAACCAAAATTAATTATATTTGGTAGGTCATATTTCCAAGACAAACGTCACCTTTACCTCGTATTTTGATTTGATAATACATTGTTTGATAATGATGTCGTGTCTTAAACCGGTAAAAAGTCTACTGTCAGGATCAGTAAATTATCTTACATGTGTTAACGGGTAACTCTGGTCGGATTTATAATAATCTTCTCTCTTATCTCATCTCATCTATAGAATAGAATAGAATAGAATAGAATAGAATAGAATAGAATAGAATAGAATAGAACTGGAAGGGACCTTGGAGGTCTTCTAGTTCAGCCCCCTGCTCAAGCAGGAGAATCTATACCATTTCAGACAAGCGACTGTCTAATCCAGGAGTGTCAAACTTGCCATGTGACGTGTCGCGACATATGACTTTTTTCCCCTTGCCAGAGCTGGGGTGGGCGCAGCTTCCATGTGACGCATCTGGCCCGTGGGCTGGCAGTTCGACACTCCTGGTCTAGTCTTAAAAACCTCCAGTGATGGAGCGTCCACGATTTCTAAAGGCAAGCTGCTCCACTGGTTAATTATCCTCACTGTGAGGAACCTTCTCCTTAATTCCAGGTTGCTTCTCTCTTTGGTCAGTTTCCAAGCATTGTTTCTTGTCTTGCCCTCTGGTGCTTTGGAGAATAATTTGACCCCCCCTTCTTTGTGGCAGCCCCTCAAACACTGGAACACTGTTATCAGGTCACCCCTATTTCTTCTTTTCTTTAGACTAGCCAAACCCAATTCCTGCAGCCGTTCTTCATACGTTTTAGTCTCCAGGCCTTGGATCATCTTAGTTGCTCTTCTCTGAATTTTTTCCTAAGTCTCAACATCTTTTTTGTAGTATGGTGACCAATATTGGTTGCAGTATTCCAGGTGTGGCCTTACTAGGGTTTTATAAAGCGGTACTAATACTTTGCGTGATCTTGATTCTATGCCTCTGTTTATACAACCCACGATTGTATTAGCTTTTTTGGCTGCTGCTGCACACAGCTGGCTCATAGTCAAGTGATCCTCCACTAGGACTCTAAGGTCCCCCTCACAGTTACTGTTTTTGAGCCAGATCTCGCCTAATCTGTACTTATACCTTTGATTTTTCCTGCCTAAATGTAAAACTTCGCTTTTCCCCACATTAAAGTTCATTTTGTTGGACAGGGCCCATTGTTCAAGTTTGTCAAGATCTTTTTGGATCCTGAGCTTGTCTTCTGAGGTGTTGGCTATTCCTGCCAGTTTAGTGTCATCTGCAAATTTGATGAGTTGCCCTTCTATTCCCTCATCTAAATCATTGATGATTAGCTCTGCCCTCTGAGAATGATTAATAGGGCACTTAAGAACTTACATGTACAACTATCTCAATTTCAGCATTTGCATAAACACTCTTGGTTGGAGACACTGTTAAAGCTTCCTATCAACACCACGGAGGGCAAAGTGTCTAAGCATGCCATTACCGGTACTTTTCTAGAGACAGCACACTATCCCTATGATAAAAATATTTGGCATTGATAATCAGTGAGGATAAGTTTTCTTTGTTCCAGACTAACATTTCCAGTTCTTTTATACAGTAGGTTCAGTTTCCAGTCCTCTCATCACCTTCATTTGTCGGTGTCCTTTTTAGACTGCAGTACCTAGTATTAAATAGTAGTTGAGTTCCCATTGAAAGGTGGATTATTTTGCAATAATTAGAAAGTTGGTGGTTTACTTATCTGAATTATTACTGTACTGTAGTATTTGTGACCATAACTGTGTTTAACCGATTCATGTCTATTCTCTGTTCTCAGTTGATCTCGTCATGAAGACTTGCTTTAACCCGAATCGAGTGATTAATTTGTCAAGTGATCTTCAGCAAGTGGGGGCAGCTTCTGTTCAGATTCAGGATACCCTGAGCACAGTACTACAGTATGCAGAAGATGTGCTGGTAAGTGTGCTGTGGCCAAAATATGCACTGATGGGAAATAAGACTGTGTGTGTATTCATTTTTCTGTTGATGTATAATATATCAAAATATTTTAAAAAAAACAGTATCTCTGTGCTTTTTGTCTAGTCTGGGAAAGTGACTGCTGACAACACTGTTGGTCGCTTCCTGATGGATCTTGTTAATCAAGTTCCAAAAATTTCGCCAGAGGACTTTGAGACTATGCTGAACAGCAACATCAATGTAAGTCCTTAGAATAGACTTGTAAGTAGTACAAATAAGTTGTATGGATGGGTGAGCTTGTAAATTGTTCAAATTAGTGGTAAGTGTTAATATGCAAGCCTGCATTACATCTCTGGTAGAATAATCTTTAATTATTACTATACACTTTTGTCTGATTTCTTAAATTATACAATTTAGAAGTTGCTTTGGGTTAATACAAATTTTTGATATCTTCTTTGGGGAAAATCTATATGCCCTCCAATGAAACAGAAAACAATTATGCTGGAGTCCTAGTGGACGATCACTTGACTATGAGCCAGCAGTGTGCAGCAGCAACCAAAAAAGCTAATACAATCCTGGGTTGTCTAAACAGAGGCATAGAATCAAGATCACGTGAAGTATTATTACCGCTTTATAAAACCCTAGTAAGACCACATCTGGAATACTGCAGCCAATTTTGGTCACTATATCACAAAAAAGATGTTGAGAGTTTGGAAAAAATTCAGAGAAGAGCAACTAAGATGATCCAAGGCCTGGAGATTAAAACATCCCCTTCAATTCCCTCTAGATCATTTATGCCACTAGAATTGGAAGTTTTAAAAAAATGTTTGTTTATTGGTATGAGTGAGCGGACAAAGTTACAGATTTGTTTCTAATGTTTCCATTGAACAGTGTTGCACAATGTAAGGAATCTTAAATATATATATTTTTTTACTCTTTAGGACCTGCTGATGGTAACCTATTTGGCAAATCTTACCCAGTCGCAGATTGCACTCAATGAAAAAATCTTAAACCTGTAATGAAATCTTAACCATCTATTAACAAGACCACCTAAAGAAACAGTGGAACTTCTTTGCACAGTCTAGACTTTGTAATTGGATTTTATCTTCTGAAATGACTGCTGAATTAATCTTGCTCATCCCTTTTTTTCCTCTTCTAAGTATGATCAGAAAGGTGATGATCATTAAAAACCATCAAGGAATTGCTAAGCTCCTGTCTTGCTTGTATATTATTAACATAGTTCTACAAATGTGTAGAGATCCTTGATTTCTACTAGGGAAATATATTTGAATTTGTTTTTGAAAATATTTATCAGCTTCGAGCGCGAAAGAAAGAATAATTTCATTAAAAATAATAAGCTTTTCAAAATGTCATTCAAAATATACGAAGAGCCTTGCTTTCTTGTTAGTAAATGACTAAGTTTCTTTCATTTCTACATAGTATGTTTAGGATTTAGATGGGTGTAGGAAAAGGCATTGTAGAAAAAAAAGAGTTAATCTCTGTCGCATTCTCTGTTTTACAGATTACTTTCTTTTAGGATAGAGACTTGTGGGACTGAAGTTGATAAAAAAAAATCATGAACAACAAGATTTTGTTGAAGTGCAAGGCAGAAGGAGAATTGTTCTCATATAACCAATGTTTCAGCTGCTATGAGTGCAGAAAATTAACAAGGCTGTGAAAGCTAATGAATGCATTCTTGTATCACAGTACCACAACCTGCCAGCAGAAATTGTAGGTATGTGCTTAGATGAAAATAGCATCCTGGGTCTCGGGAAATTCCTTTAGGTAGTTGACCTGGAGGAAATGAAAACAATGACTGTTCTGTTATGGAATGATGGTCTCAAGGAAGGAGAGACTCATGAGAGGGAGTTTAATCCTTGAGCAAGAACAGATATCCTTACTTCAAGGATTTTCCTTTCAGGAGTAGAAGCTTGAGAACTTGGCTATCTAGTGAGAAAGTGGAAGATGATCTAGTGATTAATGCAGGGATGAGGTCAGATGATCATGGTATATTTCTTTATATATGAATAATAGTTCTACTATGGATTGATGCTCCATAGATGTGTTTGGAATTTGAATTATAAACCAAACATTATTTCCCTGTACACAGCTCCTGATGTAGCAATACTGCCAGATAGGGGAATAGAATTGGCATCTTGATCTTAAAGATCTGGTCTTGTTCAAGATTTTACTCTTCAGTGGTGAATATAAATGGGAGGTACTATTGCTGGCCCTTTCCACAGATACTGATTGACTGCTGTGAGAACAGAACGCTAAACCAGATGGTGTTTAATTTGGTAATGCCTGCTTCTTTGCCTTTGATGATAATGCTGTAGTGGAATGGCTGAGTCTATAGGTAGAGGGTTGGAGGTCTCAAGCCATTTCTTGCAGAAACTTTTTGGGTCTTCACACCATGGATTATCCCTTCAGATAGTGGCTTAGAAATACCTGTTGCTACCAGCTGTCATCTAGGGCTATTTAATAAACGGATCAGGATTCTGAGGAGACACAATTCTATGCCTCTCAATCTTAAAAGATATCCCTGTATGAAGATATCCCTGTACACGTGATATATATTATTTTCTCAACCAATGTTGTCATTTGTTGATGAAGCTGGCCAATGATTAGGTAATAACACAACCAAGAATATCTGAATTGGCACTAGCCCTGAGCTTCTTTTTGTTATTGTTGTAAAAATCACATCTTTGTTAATACTCAAGTTTCTATTCAGGATAAATTATGTGTAGAAAACAAAGGGAGAATATCAANAATATAAACCATCCAGTATAAAGGTTCTGTTTGCAGTGGAAATGGAGCATAAAACTAAACTATTATGTAACAAACTATTACTACAGCACAGAATTTGGCCATTTTTCAGATGACAGTCCTAGTCATTTAATAGAATGTACACAATTGCCCATTGAGACCAGCCTAAATATTATTAGAAGAGAGAATAGAGTAGAGTAGAGTAGAGTAGAATAGAATAGAACTGGAAGGGACCTTGGAGGTCTTCTAGTTCAGCCCCCTGCTCAAGCAGGAGAATCTATACCATTTCAGACAAGCGACTGTCTAATCCAGGAGTGTCAAACTCACCATGTGACGTGTCGCGACATATGACTTTTTTCCCCTTGCCAGAGCTGGGGTGGGCGCAGCTTCCATGTGACGCATCTGGCCCGTGGGCTGGCAGTTCGACACTCCTGGTCTAGTCTTAAAAACCTCCAGTGATGGAGCGTCCACGATTTCTAAAGGCAAGCTGTTCCACTGGTTAATTATCCTCACTGTGAGGAACTTTCTCCTTAATTCCAGGTTGCTTCTCTCTTTGATCAGTTTCCAAGCATTGTTTCTTGTCCTGCCCTCTGGTGCTTTGGAGAATAATTTGACACCCCCCCCCTTCTTTGTGGCAGCCCCTCAAACACTGGAACACTGTTATCAGGTCACCCCTATTTCTTCTTTTCTTTAGACTAGCCAAACCCAATTCCTGCAGCCGTTCTTCATACGTTTTAGTCTCCAGGCCTTGGATCATCTTAGTTGCTCTTCTCTGAATTTTTTCCTAAGTCTCAACATCTTTTTTGTAGTATGGTGACCAATATTGGTTGCAGTATTCCAGGTGTGGCCTTACTAGGGTTTTATAAAGCGGTACTAATACTTTGCGTGATCTTGATTCTATGCCTCTGTTTATACAACCCAGGATTGTGTTAGCTTTTTTGGCTGCTGCTGCACACTGCTTGCTCATAGTCAAGTGATCCTCCACTAGGACTCCAAGGTCCCTCTCACAGTTAACGTTTTTGAGCCAGGTCTCGCCTAATCTGTACTTATACCTTTGATTTTTCCTGCCTAAATGTAAAACTTCGCTTTTTTCCACATTAAAGTTCATTTTGTTGGACAGGGCCCATTGTTCAAGTTTGTCAAGATCTTTTTGGATCCTGAGCTTGTCTTCTGAGGTGTTGGCTATTCCTGCCAGTTTAGTGTCCTCTGCAAATTTGATGAGTTCCCCTTCTATTCCCTCATCTAAATCATTGATGATTAGCTCTGCCCTCTGAGAATAATTAATAGGGCATTTAAGAACTACATGTACAACTGTCTCAATTTCAGCATTTGCATAAACACTCTTGGTTGGAGACACTGTTAAAGCTTCCTATCAACACCACAGAGGGCAAAGTGTCTAAGCATGCCATTACCGGTACTTTTCTAGAGACGGCACACTATCCCTATGATAAAAATATTTGGCATTGATAATCAGTGAGGATAAGTTTTCTTTGTTCCAGACTAAGCATTTCCAGTTCTTTTATACAGTAGGTTCAGTTTCCAGTCCTCTCATCACCTTCATTTGTCGGTGTCCTTTTTAGACTGCAGTACCTAGTATTAAATAGTAGTTGAGTTCCCATTGAAAGGTGGATTATTTTGCAATAATTAGAAAGTTGGTGGTTTACTTATCTGAATTATTACTGTACTGTAGTATTTGTGACCATAACTGTGTTTAACCGATTCATGTCTATTCTCTGTTCTCAGTTGATCTCGTCATGAAGACTTGCTTTAACCCAAATCGAGTGATTAATTTGTCAAGTGATCTTCAGCAAGTGGGGGCAGCTTCTGTTCAGATTCAGGATACCCTGAGCACAGTACTACAGTATGCAGAAGATGTGCTGGTAAGTGTGCTGTGGCCAAAATATGCACTGATGGGAAATAAGACTGTGTGTGTATTCATTTTTCTGTTGATGTATAATATATCAAAATATTTTTTTAAAAAAACAGTATCTCTGTGCTTTTTGTCTAGTCTGGGAAAGTGACTGCTGACAACACTGTTGGTCGCTTCCTGATGGATCTTGTTAATCAAGTTCCAAAAATTTCGCCAGAGGACTTTGAGACTATGTTGAACAGCAACATCAATGTAAGTCCTTAGAATAGACTTGTAAGTAGTACAAATAAGTTGTATGGATGGGTGAGCTTGTAAATTGTTCAAATTAGTGGTAAGTGTTAATATGCAAGCCTGCATTACATCTCTGGTAGAATAATCTTTAATTATTACTATACACTTTTGTCTGATTTCTTAAATTATACAATTTAGAAGTTGCTTTGGGTTAATACAAATTTTTGATATCATCTTTGGGGAAAATCTATATGCCCTCCAATGAAACAGAAAACAATTATGCTGGAGTCCTAGTGGACGATCACTTGACTATGAGCCAGCAGTGTGCAGCAGCAACCAAAAAAGCTAATACAATCCTGGGTTGTCTAAACAGAGGCATAGAATCAAGATCACGAGAAGTATTATTACCGCTTTATAAAACCCTAGTAAGACCACATCTGGAATACTGCAGCCAATTTTGGTCACCATGTCACAAAAAAGATGTTGAGAGTTTGGAAAAAAATTCAGAGAAGAGCAACTAAGATGATCAAAGGCCTGGAGACTAAAACATACGAAGAACGGCTGCGGGACTTGGGTTTGGCTAGTCTAAAGAAAAGAAGAAATAGGGGAGACATGATAGCAGTGTTCCAGTATCTGAGGGGCTACCACAAGGTGTTAGGATTTTAAGATCTCTCCTTTGGCTTCCCATACTGTACCCCAGGGTGTCCAACCCATGACTCATTGGCTGTATGCAGCCCTTGACAGCTAGCTATGCGGCCCCACAGGATTGTAAAAAATAAAAAAATAAAGGAAGTTTGTTATTTATATACATTAACTATATATTTTATATGCAGCCCAAGACAATTCCTCTTCACTCAGTGCGGCCAGGCAAGCCAAAGGTTCAAAAACATGCTCTTTTGTTTACTAAACGTAGAAGGTGTAAATATTAAATAAAGGCTATGACATTGCCATTTAAAACATTGTACCTATACAGTTAGTTTTTCTTACCTAAATATAAAACCTTACTTTTATCTACGTTGAATTTCATTTTGTTAGATAGGGCCCAGTGTTCAAGTCTGTGAAAATTGTTTTGGATCTTGAGTTTTATCTTCTGGGGTGTAGGCTATTCCTGCCAGCTTAGTGTCATCTGCATATTTGATTTTGTGATTTGTGATTTTATTAGATTTATACCCCGCCCTTCTCCTGGCGGACCCAGGGCGGCTTACAGCAAGCTAAAAACAGATAAAGACCCTACAAACACCGTTTTAAAATATAATTAAAAGAAATATTAATTTTGCCGTTTCATTTAAAATTTTTGTTAACACCCAATATAAAATCCAATTAAAATCCAATCTAAAA